TAAGCAATCTCAACACCCAACATGAGGCTCGAACTCATGACCCCAAGATCAAGAGCCGCATACTCTACCCACGGAGCCAACCAGGCACCCCTGGGCTATTTCTCTTCTGCTTCAAGCCCCATGTTTTTCTTTTTAACTAAAATTTATTGTGCACCTCCTGTAGCCTGGCCCTGTGGTAAATGCTTACATGTCAAGACCTTATTTAGTCTCCTCAGCAACTGTCTTAGTCCATCTGGGCCGCTGTACCAGAATAACAAACTGGGTGGCTTATAAACAACAGACATTTATTTCCTCACAGTTCTGGAGACTGGACATCCAAGATCAAGGTGTCAGCAGATTCGGAATCTGTGGAGGGGCTGGCTTCCTGATTCAAAGCTGCTGTCCTCACTCTGCCCTCCCATGGCTGGAGTTGCAAGGGGCTCTCTGGGCTCTCTCACTCTTTTTGTTCTTTTTCTTTTAGATAGTGTGATCGGGGGAGAACGACAGAGAGAGAGGGAATCCTAAGCAGGTTCCATGCATAAACACATACACCCCCCCCCTTTTTTTTTAATTTATATATTTATTTTGAGAGAGAGAGCACAAGCAGGGGAGGGGCAGAGAGAGAGGGAGAGAGAATCCCAGGCAGGCTCTGCAGGGCTCCATCTCAGCAACAGTGAGATCATGACCTGACCCGAAATCAAGAGTGGATGCTTAACCCACTGAGCCACCCAGGTGCCCCTGGGCTCTCTTTTGTAGGGACACTAACCTGTTGCGAGGGCTCCACCCTCCTGACCTAATCATCTCCCAAAGGCCCCACCTCCTACTACTATTACACTGGGGATTAGGGTTTCAAGGTGAGAATTTAGAGGGAACAGAAGCATTCAGTTTGTAGGGGCACCCAGATGAGAAAGAGCTTCTATTATCCACTTTGCACATGGGCTTTAAAGCCACATGGATCTGAGTTCAGAGCTCCCACTTAGAAGCAGTCTGACCTCGCCTCTCTGAGCCCATTTTTCCTCATTTGTAAAAGAATAATGATGTTGCTCATAATCGTTGATACTTTGTTAAGCTTACTGTATGCCAGCTCCTGTTCCAAGGGCTTTATATTCATTAGCTCATTAAATGGTCATAACAACCATAAGAAGTGGGCCCCTGTTTTATTGATGTGACACAGAGAGGTTGAAATACTTATCCAAGGTCACCAGCTTTGTAAGTGGAGAAGCCAATTCATCCTTAATGGCTACATAGAAGGGGAGACACCAGGTAAGGGAACAGATTAGATACCTGTATATGTCCCCCTGGAATATACCCCAGCATTCAGTTCAGCCTGATGTACCTCATGGGTCTGGATATTTCCAGTGAGTGAATAAATAGCCAGTGGACCTGAGGCAGCCAAGCAGCCAGCGGGCTCTCCTGCTTGTCCCTTCTCCAGTTTCAGGTTCCGGGGCAACAGGCCAAAAACAGGAAGAGGAAGTGCTGGGGGTGGGGAGGTGGTGGCAGAAGGCATGCATTGCTGGAGGGTGTCCCCCTCCGTTTCCAGCGTGGGCAGGCTTGGTGGCTGAGAACAGGGGTCCCTGGGATGTGTCCCTTAACTGTGTCCCTTAACTCACTGGGCCCTGATGGCCTGCCCTCACCCGTGTGTACTAAGAATTCTCAGGATTGGCATTAGGCCACCAGTGATCTTAAAAAACAGTTGAAATCCTGATGGCACTGCCCCAGATTTATATGAGTTTGAAACATTTTGTAAACTCCTGGGCTGAACAGTTCATACAGTCATCAACTGGGGCAAGTCTGTGAATCTCGTTGAAATTGTCTGAAAAGCCCTGTGAATATATATGCCTGGATGTTCGAAGGAGGATATCCATTATTTTCATCAGATTCTCAAGGTGTCAGACCCCAAATTAGCTTTAGCCTGTGACCTTAATCTTGCCATGTTCCCTCCTTTTACAGACAAGAGGGGAAGGTTTTGACCAAGGTCAAATAAGGAAGGTGGTTCTGGAGCCAGACTCAGGCCCCTCACTTTGGCCTTGGTGTTCTTTCAGCCCAGGTACACCCTTCCAGTGGAGAGTAGAAACCCCAGACAATTCCATATAGAGATAGTGGGTTTGGGGATGAAAGTTTCTAAACTGAAAAAATGATAATAAAGCTCACTTTTATTGAGTGTTTACTTTCTGCCAGGCACTAAGTATTTTACATGGGATTAACTCGGTCCTCACAACAATGCTCTGAGTCATGTACTATTATTCCCATTTTACAGATAAGGAAACTGAGGCCCAGAAAGTTGAAGGAGCTTGCTAGAATCACAGCTGAATAAAGGGCAGAGGAGTCAGGGTTCAAAGCCAGGCAGCCTGGCTCTAGAGCCCGTGATCCTGACCAATGCCCCACACTGCCTTTCCTGGTCAAAGGAAGGGTAGAGAGAGAGATGAGAAATGAAAGCAAGCAGGGCCAGGCAAACAGGCAGGAGAGCTAGTGGGGAAAGAAAGAGCCCGACCCCCCGCCTCCGGGGTAAGGAGGGGTCAGGGTCACCTGGTATGGGGCTAGTGGATACATTTCAGCATTGGACCTCCCCTCTCTGAGCCTGGTACCCACATAGCAAACATTTTATGAAAGGCCACTCACTATCCTTAATGGTATTGCCATTGGCGTTTGCTGCCCCAGTCCCTCCAGCCTGGCAGGCAGACCCTGGCAGTGTGCCCACTGCTCGCTGTTCCTGGTCCAGATCTGATGAGCTGGCATCTTCACATGGGGGTGATTTGCAAGGCCCAAGTGAGAAGCAGCAGGTGGCAGGCCCAGAACGTGCCCCTGGTGACCCTGGGTCCACAGGTCTCCAGGAACTGGGGAGCAGCTAGTGCGTCAGCCGTGGGGCCCAGAGCTGGGGCGAGGGCAGGAGATGGCCCCAGGGCTTGCCAATCACACTGCAACAGAGCCTGGCTCAGTCTCTTTGAGGAAGCTTCACGTTCCTCGTTGGTTGGTGCACTGTGTCCTTAGAAAGGGCTGGGCCTGGCCTGGGAGGGCCTTCATCTCTCTACCCCACCCTTCTCCTTCTCCCTGGAGCGGGGAGTAAAGGAGAGGCCTGTGCTTGGGAACATATGTTAGGCCAACAGAGAGGGCCGCTGGTGGTTTGGTGGTTGTGCTTTTTTTTT